GGAACTACTGCCACACAGGACAGGACTAAAGTCACAGGGGACTACTGCCACACAGGACAGGTCTAAAGTCACAGGGGACTACTGCCACAGGGGACTACTGCCACAGGGAACTACTGCAACACATGACATGACTAAAGTCACAGGGGACTACTGCTACAAGGGACTACTGCTACACAGGACTACTGCCACAGGGAACTACTGCCACAGTGGACTACTGCTACACAGGACAACTGCCATAGGGGACTACTGGGACAGGGGACTACTGCCACAGGGAACTACTGCCACAGGGGACTACTGCTACACAGGAATACCTGCCACAGGGGACTACTGCTACACAGAACTACTGCCACAGGGGACTACTGCTACAGAGGACTACTGCCACAGAGGACTACTGCTACCCAGGACTACTGCCACAGGGGACTACTGCTACACAGGACTACTGCCACAGGGGACTACTGCCCCAGAGGACTACTGCTACACATGACTACCTGCCACAGGGGACTACTGCTACACAGGACTACTGCCACATGGGACTACTGCCACAGGGAACTACTGCTACACAGGACTACTGTCACAGGGGACTACTGCCACAGGGGACTACTGCTACACAGGACTACCTGCCACAGGCGAGTACTGCTACACAGAAGTACTGCCACAGGGGACTACTGCCACAGGGGACTACTGCTACACAGGACTACTGCTACAGGGGACTACTTCTACACAGGACTACTGTCACTTGGGACTACTGCCACAGGGAACTACTGCTACACAGGACTACCTGCCACATGGGTATAATGCTACACAGGACTACTGCCACAGGGGACTACTGCCACACAGAACTACTGTCACAGGGAACTACTGCCACAGGGTACTACGGCCACAGGGGACTACTGCTACAAAAGACAGGACTACTGCCACAGGGGACTACTGCTACAGAGGATTACTGCCACAGGGGACTACTGCTACACAGAACTACTGCCACAGGGGACTACTGCTACACAGAACTACTACCACATGGGACTACTGTCACAGGGAACTACTGCCACACAGGACAGGAGTAAAGCCACAGGGGACTACTGCTACACAGGACTTCCTGCCACAGGGGACTAATGCTACACAGGACTTCTGCCACGGGGGACTACTGCCACACAGGACTACTGCCACACATGACAAGACTAAAGCTGCAGGGGACTACTGCTACAGGGGACTACTGCTACACAGGATTGCTGCCACAGGGGACTACTGCCACAGGGGACTACTGCTACACAGGACTACTGCTGCACAGGACTACTGCCACAGGGGATTACTGCCACAGGGAACTACTCCCACACAAGACAGGACTAAAGCTACAGGGGACTACTGCCACTCAAAACAGGACTAAAGCCATAAGGGACTACTGCCACAGGGGACTACTGCCACACAAGACAGGACTACTGCTACAGAGGACAGAACTACTGTCACGAAGCACAGGACTACTGCCGCAGAAAACAGGAATACTGCCACAGAGGACCGAACTTCTGCCACAGAGGAAAGAACTACTGCCGCAGAGGACAGAACTACTGTCACAGAGGACAGAACTACTGCCGCAGAGGACAGAACTACTGTCACAGAGGACAGAACTACTGCCACAGAGGACCGAAATTCTGCCACAGAGGAAAGAACTACTGCCACAGAGGACAGGAATACTGCCACAGAGGACAGGAATACTGCCACAGAGGACAGGAATACTGCCACACAGAACAGGGCTTCTGTCACAGAGGACAGGACTACTACCACAAGGGGCTACTGCCACACAGGACAGAACTACTGCCACAGAGGACAGGACTACTGCTACAGAGGACAGGACTACTACCACAAGGGGCTACTGCCACACAGGACAGAACTACTGCCACAGAGGACAGGACTACTGCTACAGAGGACCACTGCCACAGCGGACTACTGTCACAGGGGACTAATTTCACAAAGGAATACTGCCATAGAGGACTACTGCCACAGCGGATTACTGCCAGAGGGAACTACTGTCACAGGGGGCTACTGCCTCAGGGGACTACTGCCACAGGGAACTACTGTCACAGGAGACTACTGTCACAGGGGACTACTGCCACAGGGAACTACTGCCACAGGGGGCTACTGCCACAGGGGACTACTGCCACAAGGGACTACTGCAACAAGGGACTACTGCCACAGGGGACTACTGCCACAGATGACTACTGCCACAGGGGACTACTGCCACAGGGGACTACTGCAACAAGGGACTACTGCCACAGGGGACTACTGCCACGGAGAACTACTGCCACAGGGGACTACTGCCACAAGGGACTACTGCAACAAGGGACTACCGCCACAGGGGACTACTGCCACAAATGACTACTGCAACAAGGGGTTACTGCCACCGGGGACTACTGCCACAGGGGACTACTGCTACAGGGGACTACTGCAACAAGGGACTACTGCCACAAGGGATTAATGCCACAAGGAACTACTACAACAAGGGACTACTGCCACAGGGGACTACTGCCACAGTGGACTACTGCCACAGGGGACTGCTGCCACAGGGGACTACTGCCACAGGGGACTGCTGCCACAGGGGACGAATGCCACAAGGAATTAGTGCAACAAGGGACTACTGCAACAAGGGACTACTGCCACAGGGGACCACTGCCACAGGGGACTACTGCAACAAGGGACTACTACCACAGGGGACTAATGCCACAAGGGACTACTGCAACAATGGACTACTGCCACAGGGGACTACTGCCACAGGGGACTGCTGCCACAGGGAACTACTGCCACAGGGGACTACTGCCACAAAGGACTACTACAACAAGGGACTACTGCAACAAGGGACTACTGCCACAGGGGACTACTGCCATAGAGAACTACTGCCACAAGCTACTACTGCAACAAGGGACTACTGGCACTGGAGACTACTGTCACAGAGGACTACTGCCACAGGGGACTACTGCAACAAGGGACTACTGCCACAGGGGACTAATGCCACAAGAGACTACTGCAACAAGGAACTACTGCCACAGGGGACAACTGCCACAGAAGACTACTGTCACAAGTGACTACTGCAACAATGGACTACTGCAACAAAGGACTACTGTCACAGGGAACTACTGCCACAGGGGACTAATGCCACAAGGGACTTCTGCAATAAGGGACTACTGCAGCAAGGAACTACTGACACAGGGGACTACTGCCACAGGGGACTACTGCAACAAGGGACTACTGCCACAGGGGACTAATGCCACAAGGGACTACTGCAACAAGGGACTACTGCCACAGGGGACTACTGCCACAGGGGACTGGTGCCACAGGGGACTACTGCCACAGCGGACTACTGCCACAAAGGACTACTACAACAAGGGACTACTGCAACAAGGGACTACTGCCACAGGGGACTACTGCCATAGAGAACTACTGCCACAAGCTACTACTGCAACAAGGGACTACTGCAACAAGAGACTACTGGCACTGGAGACTACTGTCACAGAGGACTACTGCCACAGGGGACTACTGCAACAAGGGACTACTGCCACAGGGGACTACTGTCACAAGTGACTACTGCAACAAGAGACTACTGCAACAAGGGACTACTGCTACAGGGGACTACTGCCACAGGGGACTACTGCCACAGGGGACTACTGCCACAAAGGACTACTACAACAAGGGACTACTGCAACAAGGGACTACTGCAACAAGGGACTACTGGCACTTGAGTCTACTGTCACAGAGGACTACTGCCACAGGGGACTACTGCAACAAGGGACTACTGCCACAGGGGACTAATGCAACAAGAGACTACTGCAACAAGGGACTACTGCCACAGGGGACTACTGCCAGGGGACTACTGTCACAAGTGACTACTGCAACAAGGGACTACTGCCACAGGGGACTAATGCAACAAGAGACTACTGCAACAAGGGACTACTGCCACAGGGGACTATTGCCACAGGGGACTACTGTCACAAGTGACTACTGCAACAAGGGACTTCTGCAACAAGGGACTTCTGCCACAGGGTACTACTGCCACAGGGAACTACTGCCACAGGGGACTACTGCCACAAGGGACTACTACAACAAGGGACTACTGCAACAAGGAACTACTGCCACACTGGACTACTGCCACAGGGGACTACTGCCACAGGGGACTCCAGGGCGCGCGTGCCTAATTGGTTGCTGAGGAAGGTGAATTAACAGGCTTCTCCAGTAGCCTGTTAGGCATGTGCACTCTGTCTACTCTCCAGCACCGTCTACCCTCCGCTGTCTACTCTTCAGCACCGTCTACCCTCCGCTGTCTACTCTCCAGTACCGTCTACCTCCCTCTGTCTACTCTCCAGCGTCTGCCTCCCTATATCCACTCTACTGTAGCGTCTACTCTCCAGCAACGTCTACCTTCCTCTCTCTACTCTTTAGCGTGTACCCTCATATGTGTACTCTCAAGCAGCGTCTACCCTTCTCTGTCTACTCTCCAGCAGCGTCTACCTCTCTGGTTTCCTCCCTCTGTCTGATTTCCAATGTATACCTTCGTCTACTTTCTAGCGTCTACCTCTGTCTAGTCTCCAGCGTCCACCTTCGTCTGCTTTCCATCGTCTACCTTTGTCTACTTCTGTCTACCATCCTCTGTCTAATTACCACCGTCTACCTTACTTTGTCTAATTACCACCGTCTGCCTCGCTGCCTACTCACTATCGTCCAATTTCTTGGAAGAAGAGCTTTTGACGAGGATTCAGGTCTCAAGGTGGTAAGTCAATATATTTTGATTATAAATATACATTATATATATATATATATATATATATATATATATATATATATATATATATATATATATATATATATATATATATATATATATATATATATATATATATATATACATATATGACACATTAAGGTTAGTACAGTTAAGTATGTTTGTCTCATTATTAGTTAACTAAGGTTCGAGCCTGCAGCACTCCCTTCTCCTCAACTAATTACATATCCTACTACAGGTGACGTTCGTTGAGGCTCCTGGCATCCTGGAGATGAGACGACCAGGGGAACGACTCTATCCCTTCAACGACGTGGTTCAGTGGTTCATAGACCGCGCAGACCTGATTTTGGTCATGTTTGACCACACTAAACTTGACGCTGGTTACGAACTTGAGGCCATCTTAGACCAGCTGAAGGGACGCGAGGGCCAGGTACACTAACTTTGGCTAAGTTGACTAAGCTGACTAAGTTGACTAAGTTGACTAAGCTGTGAAAGGGCTAACCTGAGTCCAATGTCTGGGAGTATCAGTCACTGTTTTACGAATGAGGTGAAAATACCAGGTGTGCTAGTTCCCTAGATGTTGATCTGTGATGTTAATACCAGGTGTGCTAGTTCCGCAGATGTTGATCTGTGATGTTAATACCAGGTGTGCTAGTTCCGCAGATGTTGATCTGTGATGTTAATACCAGGTGTGCTAGTTCCGCAGATGTTGATCTGTGATGTTAATACCAGGTGTGCTAGTTCCGCAGATGTTGATCTGAGATGTTAATACCAGGTGTGCTAGTTCCGCAGATGTTGAACTGTGATGTTAATACCAGGTGTGCTAGTTCAGCAGATGTTGATCTGTGATGTTAATACCAGGTGTGCTAGTTCCGCAGATGTTGAACTAGCACCATCTTAGTAGCACCATCACCATCTTAGTAGCACCATCACCATCTTAGTAGCCCCATCACCATCTTAGTAGCCCCATCACCATCTTAGTAGCACCATCACCATCTTAGTAGCCCCATCACCATCTTAGTAGCACCATCACCATCTTAGTAGCACCATCACCATCTTAGTAGCACCATCACCATCTTAGTAGCACCATCACCATCTTAGTAGCACCATCACCATCTTAGTAGCACCATCACCATCTTAGTAGCCCCATCACCATCCTGGTAGTAATATAATCATCTTAATAACGCCACCAGTCACTGTATATACAATGAGAGGTGAGCATCCCTCAGTGTTTGGTGGTGACACGAATGATCCATATGTAGTCGATAGTTTCTTTGAGATAAACGTTCCCCCAAACACCAGTCGATGTTTCGCCCCCACCATCAAAGTCGTCTAACTTGATGGTGTGAAATGTAACGTTGCGTGGTGTTGTAAACACAACATCTGTACAGCCTTAGAGAGATGTGTATGTACTCACCTAGTTGTGGTTGCAGGGGCCGAGTCACAGCTCCTGGCCCCGCCTCTTCACTAGTACTGTAACAGCAACATTACGCTCTTCCTCAGACACGCATCCTGCTGAACAAGGCAGACCAGGTACCTGCCGAGGAGCTGATGAAGGTTCAAGGGAGCCTCTTCTGGAACCTGAGTCCCTTGCTAGGAGTGTCAGCTCCTCCCACCGTCTACGCAGGCTCCTTCTCTTCCAGGCCTTACCGCACATCCTCTCCTGGCAAACTCTTTCAGGTACGTACAGTAAACCTATTTACCTGTGAATTGGATAAGGGTATACAGTACACGCAAGCTGATAATATGACAGATGTGTCTGACCTTAAACGTTTAACACCTGCCAGGAATGTAATAATAATAATAATAATAATAATAATAATAATAATAATAATAATAATAATAATAATAATAATAATAATATTATTATTATTATTATTATTATTATTATTATTATTATTATTATATTTAACCAAAAAGCACAATATCGTGAAGTAGTTTCAGTCCTCTTGGACCATTTACAAAGTCACACTGACTAGTAAATGGCCCAAGTCGGACCGGAACGTCATCGTAAGCTCCTCTCTCCTACGTCCGGGTTATCTGTGTATTGTTATTATATTTCTGGGAGGTGTTAAATCTTATAGACAAGACGGGTATTCAGTAATAATGGCTTCATGTTCGTTGAAGAGGGCCTCGGTGAGAGGCTGAAATATGAAATATGTCTCATATGTCTGGAACCGCGGAGAAAAATTTACGTGATACTTTTAATTTATTGATATATTCTTGCAACAACTGACAGTATGTCTTGCAGCCACTGACAGTATGACTTGTAGCCACTGACAGTATGTCTTGTAGCCACTGACAGTATGTCTTGTAGCCACTGACAGTATGTCTTGTAGCCACTGACAGTATGTCTTGTAACCACTGACAGTATGTCTTGCAGCCACTGACAGTATGTCTTGTAGCCACTGACAGTATGTCTTGCAGCCACTGACAGTATGTCTTGCAGCCACTGACAGTATGTCTTGCAGCCACTGACAGTATGACTTG